ATCAGGCGGCCCCCAGGCCTGTAGGGGGGTGTCAGAGCTGTGCTGAGCTTTCACCCCTGAAGCCAACGCTGAACTTTGAAGTCTCTCAATGGCCTCTGTGTACATACTGATGTGATGTCGGAGCGAGGGAGAGGCAAGGACAATGACCCAGAGGGATTGTGGGTATGCGACATGACAAGCGTGGGGAAGAGACTGGAGGAAAGAAGAGGCTGAAGGTATCGTCTGTTGCTTGGGGCTTTGACCTAAAATGTTGCTCTTGACGAGTACATGCTTGAGCTGATCGGAAACACAAACATTCTTTCTTCTAACAACTGCTTATACTAGTCTGTCCTCTAGATTTAAAAGAGACATTGTGCAAAAAAACATTATTCCTTCATCAAGGGAACCATCCATGCTAATATCAAGAATGCTAATAACAAGAAAAAAACATGCTTTTATCTAAAATCTCATGTCTCAAACTTTTAATAATTTGATTTCTTTGTAGATCTATGACATCACACAGTTTTGAAGCTATTAAAAACTACAAATATTCCAACATTTTTTTTTTTTTATTAAAACTAAAACAGATTTTTACATCTCCCTCTGGTGGCAGGAACCGGTGTGTACGAGCAATGTATTTTCTGTTTTGGCCAAAGACACTTGTTGCCATATATTTTTGACGTATTTTTTCACATTATAAAAAATGAAATGATGAAATAAAAATTACCATAATGGTTTGGTCATGAATGCATCAAATAACAGCCTGTTGGATGACGCTCATTTCAAATCACTTCATTCTTCTGATCGGAGTATCACAGGTGGCAAGTAACTAAGTATTTGTACTGTTCTTACTGTAAAAGTTGTACAGGCGTTTTCTGTACTTTGCAGATTCAGATTAATTTATTAGCCATTTGCAGTAAAACCACATTGGAAAAACTACCCCAGTGTGCACCAGACTTGACTATATAAAACAAATCTGCTCTCTATTGCCCATCGTTACCATTTTTATGCTAATATCAACTATAGGGCACTTTCCAACTGTTTCGAAATGCAAAAGGATACCGTCTGAAACAAAAAATATAACAATAACATTGCAAACAATATTTTTTAATTTGTTTGAAATAGTTCTACGGAAATGTTAGCACAGACCAACATTTCTTTATTTTATTCCTATTCTCTCTATTTATTTGGTAGGTCATGAAAGCAAATAGCCGGGTCCTGGCCACGGCTGTTGGACTTTCTCAACAGCCTCAAGTAGCATGAATGTGTCCAAGAGTAGACACATCTCTCTTACCCTAAAGCCTGTGGAGTATTATAGTATCAGTTTCTAAAAAATTTTGATTCAATAATGTTTTCAAAGGGTTTAAAGCCACTTGGAAAGCGCTGCTTACATTTCAATAGGGGCCATAATCCGCCTTACTGTACATCAAATGCTAAACATATTAATAGTAAATAGCAAACCCAGTGGCTGATCTATGAGGGCGAAAACAGCCTGGGACACTCCGGCGTGGCTCTGCTTTTTCCTCATGAATCTTATATTAATCAACAGTCTCTGCATGCACACCACTACATCATGCATACTAATACGAATCAAAGTGGCTGTCCCTAGATTACTCAAAGCTCATGCGTGCCCCCATTGAATTAATCATTTGCACGGCTCACAATGAAATCCTATACAAAAAAACATTCATTATTGAACAAGCAAAACATGTAATACGTGTTTGCTATAGTTCGCGTTTTGTTCTGAACATAACGTAATGTAATCAAGAGTTCAAGACGGAACGGCAGTTTGGAGCGTTGTTTTTCATGAGCGCTCAAGTGGAAGTGGTGTAATTAAATTTGCTATCAGCTGTCAGTGGCCTCCCCTCACCTTGTCTCCGTCATATTGGGACAAAGACAGTGTTGATGAGTTGTAATACAGGGAGATGCAGACTGAGGCGATCCAGAGCAAATAGCCAATGTCTTTCTGGTAGAATGGACCATGCTGTTGCTTTTAAAATAATAAAAATTTTATTTTCAATATTGGATACGAAATGAGTCCTGGTCATAGCTCATCAAGGCACTCATGAGTCTAAGTAATGAGTTGATAAGTGTATTTGAAGAAGGGGTTACTGTATGTATGAAATTGAAAGAAGTGATGAGTGGGTCATGCATTCTCTTTCTTGCTTTGTAAATAGACACAACAAAATCATACAGCGACATTTTCTCCTTTTAAATTAAAGTCAAAGAGATGTTTGTCCTATCCTTCAAAGTAAGACACTAACCTTCCCTCGCTTTGACAAAACCAAAGCAGTTAATCAGTGAGTATATTTACAAAGTATAAGAAGATGGAGTTTGTTTAAAAAAAATGATGATAAAAAAAAACCTGTTTAACCACGGTCTCGTCGGCAATCGCCTTTTAGTGAGAAGCTGGAGCCTTGTGACACATTCAAAGGCATCTCGTTAAACTCTGGAACGGTAATTAGGTTTAGTTTAAGCACTGTTTCGGCAAATGTCATCACCCATTTGTGCTATCCACTCAGCTGGATAGCACTCTCACCTCTCAGCAAGAAGGTCGTGGGTTCGACTCCCGGTCGGAACAGAGTCTTTCTGAGTTGAGTTTGCATGTTCTCCACGTGCCTGCGTAGGTTTCCTCTGGGTGCTCCGGTTTCTCCTACCACTAAAAACATGCTCACTTGGTTAAATCCTCAGCTCCGATCCTGACCAATCCGAGCATCAGAGATGGGTTCTTGGGCGCTGTTACTACGGCGACCACTGCTCCTGACATAAGCCTTAGTGGCATCAGGATGGGTCAAATGCAGAGGATTGCCCTACGGGGATTTATAAAGTGCACCTTTACCTTTACCTATGTCAGTATCCTATACGTCCAAATAGGGGCAATTCTATTCTCCCTGTGCTCGTGAATGCATCTACTGGCCCAGTCTCCCAATGATCGAATTTAGATGGTTCCAACCCAGCAAATAAATGGTTCGATTCAGACATGCCAAATGGACTTGAATTTCACTTCTTTGCATGCATCTTACGATGGCTAATTAAATTGGACTAGGGAGGGAATCACTTTTCACTAGTGCTTATTCAACTTAACCAGCCTACTTTTCTGATTCCTCCAGATGGCAGCTTTTCTCCTCTCCAACTAAATACATTCTAGGCGTGACACTGGCATTTTGCTCTATAATGCAAATCTTAGCATGCATAATTAGCTAAGATCAGATGGCAGGATCTGATCTAAAGTGGATTTTATTCACACTTTTGGGATAAAATGAGTCTCCATCGTAAGGGGTTAGAATCACATTGGCTGTTTGCATTCTATCATCAGTCTGACCTTCAATAGAATCCTCAAACGCTTCCCTCGTGTCCGTTCCCTTCCTTCTGCAAGTCTAATCCACTGGCTGGGTTTGTGGCCAGCCTGCGCGCTTTCTCAGCACAGACGGCCCGAAGTGAGACAGTGACAAGTCGAGGAGGGGGAAGTGTTCTAATCACTTCTCACACTGAGCTTTGAAGGAGGTTTCTTGGGACTCCCGACAGTCCACCCCGGCCTCGTCCGCTCCTGCTCTTCCCCGACCCCTCTGGCTGTCTGTGCACGTCACAATGGGACCCCCGACGCCCCTCCGCCCACCTCCACGCTAACCTTTTCCCTTCATCTGTCGCTGCTCTGCGCTCTCCACTCTCCCAGAGCCAGCTCAAATCGCCCCGAGCACCAAGGCCCTACTTTTGATTTCCCTATAAATCCTGGTTATGGAGTGTGAAAGTGACTTGATCCCATTATTCTGGCAGGATGAAACGAGCAGAGGTGATTCGACGAGAAATTGTGACAGTCCGGGGAGGCCCACATGTAATATTGTAACTTGTCTTTATCCTTAAATATTAGCTCACAGCCTTGGCTAAATGAATGATGTGCAGCGAGTGGCGTAAACAGTGATTACACAGACGTAGTGGAATGACATTTTGTTCTATTGCATGTCGTGAATTTAGTTTTTTTCCCTCATGGAAAGATGCGGCTTTTGTTGACAGTCTTGAGAAAAAAAAAGAAAAAAAAGGTCTCTAATTTGAGATGTAATCTGCGTGTGATGCCGGGTTGAAAGCTTTAATAATCAGCTGTCAGGGAGAGCATTCAAAGTCAGATCTGGGCACTCTCGAGATGTAAGATATTGGAAAACGGCACACTGCTTGACAACAAATTAGATTTATCAGCTTTTGTTGATCAAATAGCGTTTGACATTGTAGCATTTGTAAAAGTTGCTTGCATATGTTTTAACACTTTTTGTTGTTGTTACTTTCATGACGTATACAGTGTAGCCAAATGCTATGGGAATTATCGTAAATACCTCTTCGGTCCATTGGGAATTTGGACATTGATGATCCCACTTAATTGTTCTGGTAAAATGAAATATTGTACATATGTGGAAGTCTGAAACGTTCATTTGTTAGTTGTCCTTGTATAAGTAAATTGTGCTTTCAACATGTTTTATTTTGAAACACCACAAAAACACTTGAAAATGCTTTTAATGACCTGTTAACAAGTGGATAATATCATCATCGCAGCACAGAAAGGCAGCATGAAAAATACAGATGGATTCAAATGTTTAATGAAGTGGAGCCATTACATCTGATACAAAAACTGATCGTACAAAATGTTAATGCTAATTGTTTTTGATTCAAATTAAGCTCGCAAATGTTGAGTGTGGTTGTTGATCTTTGAGTCAATACTGTCTATCTATAGCTGCAACCATTTCCTCAGTTTTTTGGGTAAAGTCATTTTGTGCGACTGAAAACATGCTTTAAGTATATTCATTTCCTAATTATGTTTTTGCTTTTATAAATTGTTTGCACCGAGAGCCAAAGCAATGTCTTAGTTGGTGACTTCCTGTTACTCACAATGGCAATAAAAAAAAAGTCTTATCCTGATACTGATTAGACACTACAGATTCTAACTCACTTTTCCCAGTAGCCAAACTCATTACAATATGAGAATCAAACCATGTACCAACACCAACATATGTATTTTTTCTTTTTTCCCACAGCCTTTGGATTACGAGACCAGACACGCCTACACTCTGAAAGTCGAGGCCTCAAACGTCCGTCCCGCTCCGAACGGGGACATGCCGTACAAAGACACAGCCACAGTGAAGATCGTGGTGGTGGATACGGACGAGCCCCCGGTGTTCTCCAAACCCATGTACCGACTGGAGGTCAATGAGAACGCACCCATCAACACGGTGATCGGCTCCGTCACCGCCAGAGACCCCGACTCCTCTGCAAGTTCTGTCAGGTACTGAGGATACTGTCCCTGTTGGATACATTAAGTATGTTAGCGTTGTAGTTTTGCAGCTAAGCTAAATTTATTATGATGATAGACAGAAGAGAAGAAAATAAATGAGTTTTTTCTGCTGTTGATTTTATGCAGTACTGTGACTGAAGCTACAGTATAATGTTTAGATCAAAGCGAGTACATCTGGAATATATGTTTTTTTTTTTTTTTTATCAGCGCAATCTTTAAAAAAAATACAGTTTATGGTCCACGTAAAGGGGCCGGAATGCGCTTCCATCTTTTTTCGGAAGCCTGTAAGCTTGTAGAAATCATAATCCAGAACTTGGTGGTTGCGTTTGAGCTCCAGGGACATTTTTCTCTCTTCAGATTTGTTTTTGATTGTTTTAAGGAAGCTTTCAACTCTAAGACTAGAATGAATGGCATACATTATTATCAGTTAATTTATACAAAAAAAGAAATAGACTTCATAACTCATTGACCACCGTGCAATATATTGTTGCTGTGACTATTCTGGAACACACCAGAAGGGCACCTTGAGGATAGGTTATACAGGCAATTTCTCTGCCTCCATCTTGGCATTTCATTAAGTCTCCAGTGACTTGGTGACCGCATTCCCGGGACAACACTCAACAAGTTTTGTGTAATTGCAAAGGTGGTTTGGCTCGGCAGCAATAGCATGACCATTTCATTTGGATGTGTATATATATTTTAGTTTGGGGCACATCCTCATGTTTAGTGATGAGACTGCCAGGAGGAGCAGAACAGTGAGGTTGCAAGGTGTCCATCCCCAGGTGGAAGGAACCTCTGTTTTATGTATAATGACTTATTTTGCCTCTCTGTGTCCTTGTTTCTTACAATGATGCTTCCAAGTTAGGGCAGCCAGTTTGCAAGGACATTGAGTAATAAGAGGCAGTCCAGACTTTGTATTGTTAAGGGCAACTTGTACTGGCTCAAGCTTGTCGAATTAATTATCCCCATTTAGAAAATATGTTGTCTAAGTGTGACTCATTTGATCAATATGACTTTGGCGCGAACACACCCAGGCAGGAATATAGGGTGATGTAGGCAGGAAGGAATCAAATATATACAGTACATACGTGTTGATGACGGGGAGGAGGCGGGTTGCTGCGTGAGCTGAATGTGTGTGTGTGTGTGTGTGTGTGTGTGTGTGTGAGAGTGTGTGTGTCTGTGTGAGTGTGTGTAGATGTGGGGTGATATGGAGAGATGAAATGGTATAGAAATCATTTTGGTATTGCTAATGCATGTGTTTGTGCTTCCACGGCTCACTCTTGCTTGAGCTAGCTACATCCATTTCTTGCAAACAAAATAAATGAATTAATGCATTAGGGTTAAAATATAGTGATGCCATGCCCTGTTCAGTTTGGCAATAACAAATAATACCACTTAATATAGTCCAATGGGTTATTCATTGGACTATTTTAACCAATTCCAATTCCATGTCAGCTTCCCCAGAGCTCTTTTTTCCCTTCATTATATGTATTATACTTTTAATGACCAATTTTGTAGAGGGGCTGTTATTTTCAGAATGGATTTTTGCCTGTGGGTTTCAACAAACAAAGCATGAAAAATCACTTCCATAGCCAAAGCTTTTAAAGTGGTTGATCACTTTTATAAAGCTTATTCACAAACTCTCACTTTTGATTCTTTGAACAAATTCAGTGGTGGAATGTTGCATTATTGCTCTGCCAAATCGCAGGCTCAACAAGTAGGCTTATGACCGACTGTTCGGTTGCCAGGTTGATTCATGATATTTTCTGGAACTGGCTCACATGATTGCAGTTTATGTTGTAAAATTAAATGTATAGAAACGTGATGAGATCTGGTCTTGTTTACGGCTGAGCACTATTGGGCATATGGTTAACAGAGATTGATTGCTGAGAGAGAAGGCTCACTCTGCAACCCTTCCAAAAATATAGTGCAGCTAAGCGTTGGTTTGAGTGTGATATTTTTTCTCTTTTATGTTGAGACTTCTACGACCTGTACGATGTAGTTTACCTTTCAAAGCTGCAAAACGGCGTGGCTTTAATCAATCTATTTGCAGTATTGCGACAGATAACCATGATCTATGGCAGATGCCACCTCTTTACTTTTGTGTGAAGACAGATGAAAGAACCCTTTGTCGTAAAGGGTTAATATGATGCATTACCAACACCAAAGAGCATTTGATTTTACTTCAAGCCGAAGGTCTATACACTGGGCCGTTATGCGGCGAGCTCCGGGCTGATAAAATGATTACAGCTTGCGAGATTTTAATCCCGACAGATAAAAAGACTGACAGAGGGCCATTGCTGAATAATGCCTCTTCCAAGATCAGTTGGTTTTAATAATAAATCTCCCCATAGACAAAAGGAAATGTATGGACTAGACTTGGCAATGTGTGTGCAAGATACAAGCTGTAAAACATGATTTCACTGTGTAATAACTATGATGTAAATGATGGGCAAACATGCTCAATACTACACAGAACAAATTACACAGAACAAATTACACAGAACAAATTACACAGAACAAATTACACAGAACAAATTACACAAAACAAATTACACAGAACTATCCGTGCCACAAGCATCAAGCCCATTGTTGACACTGAAGCTTTCAAAATGATTTATCTTCTATGTCAAGTTAAAATCAAGTGTGAGTCAAGTTCATAACAATTTTCTGTTTTCAAATGATACATTAATATATGGCATCATTAATGAGACAAAGTAGTTAGTCATTTTATTGCTTTTAGAAAGAAAGCAACAGGCCAATAGTCACTCATAATAGAAGCTCAATGGAATTACTGTGTATGTGGAAGGATCAAAAGTATTTTGACACTTGCATGAATCCTGAAACAAGTCGGTTCGCTTAGAAGACGAGCATTCCTTCATCCTACGTAAGCACACCTATCCATTGATCAAACGTTGCCATGGAGATGAGAACAGACTTTTGTGCAGCCACTGCATCTCATTATTGTGACAAGGTAGTATTTTCTGTACTCCATCCAAGAATCCTCTACATGAATTCCCATTTGTCCTTCATGTCCAAATCTGCCAAGAGACAAAGAATCAAACAGACAAAATGTGAAAATGCTTGTTATTCGAAGCCAACTTTCTGTCTTTTGGCGGATTGGGACAAAAGTGGCTCGGATTAGTGTGGACGGGCTCTCCAGTTGACCGCTGTGATTACAATTGCTCTTCGTCCCTATCTCACTCATGTCTTTCCATCTTTGCCGCTTGCCCATTACTCAACCCCCTTTTTTTCCACACACACACAGACACTCGTGCATTCACACACCATCAGCGCTGGACCAGACCGATGCGACCCGACTCCGCAGAGTGGTGGGCTGCCATGTCCTTTTTGGGTTGAGGACACAAACAAGCCCTCAGCTGTACTTAATGCATCCAACCAACAAGTATTTTCAGGTGCACTCCGTGAAATGCTCTCCCTAGCCCCCCCACACACACTCACACTCACACAACACACACACACACACACACAACACACCCACACACACACACAACATGCCCACACGCACACGTCGCTTTCCCTCTTTGAGCCATGTGGGTTTCTACCTGACTGACCGCAGATAAAAAGCAATGTGACATCTGGCAGTCACTATAAGGTGCCCCTGCGTGAACTGAAATGGCGAGGTGCATTTTAGTTCAATAATAGATAATGGAGACGAGAGAGAGGCAGAGTCTGTAAACACCACTGGGATTACGCCAATTGCGGTTTCCATCGTATGGCAGAAAACAAAGTCGGCGTAAACAAGCTGGGTACAGTTCCGAATAATTCAAAGGTTTAAAGGGCATTTGATGTTATTATCCTTTGTCAAGATGTGATAGTCCACATCCAAAAACAAGATGTATATTTCAGTTTCATATTTCAGATGGGAGAATTCATAAAGTTCACCTTTTTATTGTCATTGATGCCATCCTCAACAGATATTTGTAATAACAGTATTTTAAAAGAAAGGAACTTCAATTATAGTGCACAGCAAGACATAATACAAATAATAATGATAAAGGTGTTCAATTGAAATGTAGTTTTTTGGTTGCAATTAAGTCGTCATTTTAATTGATGCATTGGTTTTATTTAGCACTGTTTGGGACACTCAAAGACCTAAGGAGCAGAGACCAATATTCATAAATGTTAATAAATGTCCATAAATGTTCATAAATCATCACCACTGCTCTTAAACAAGTGGTGGTCAAACCCCGGCCCATGGGCCAGATGCGGCCCTTTAGATGTTTCTATCAGGCCCCTGAACCCTCTCCAGTTTATATATATTAAGATTAAGATTAAGATCAGGATTAAGAACCTTTATTCGTCCTACAATGGGGTAATTTCAGTAGAAAGACCATAAATCCCTCTGTGTTGTGTGCAGAGCTCTGGAGACAATTATTTTCTTTCATATAAACAATACATTTATTTGTTAACACAAGAAAAAAACATTGGAAATTAGGTCCGGACCCCGACAGCCGTCTGATATTCCAATGTGGCCCTCAGTAGGAAAAGTTTTCCCATGTCTGCCTTAGACCCTCCAGCATCGGCGAGAAATAAAACTCTAAAAACCGTCACGTTTAGATCCAATGTGACAAGTCCTGTTGACAGTTCTGTGCACATTGTCCACGCATAGACCTGTTTATCGATGTTTTATGTCGAGATGAGGAGAAACACCTCTGACAAATGCCCCTTTGAACACAGTGTGCAGCCTATACCGACACTTACGCTCTCTTTGGAAAACGTGGTCAGCAGAAGGAAAAAAAGCTGTATGTGTTTCATATTTCTCGATCCTCCCTGTGGACCGAGTGACCTAATAACAAACTGGAATGTCATACGCCCTTTCTTTCTCTCTGCGGAAAACAATAGAAAATCTGTGTGGCTGTAGATTTCACCTAAGACACCTCTGCGCACACATCCATTCAACCAGATGCTCACACAACGGAGATAAAACTCAGCACATATATTCCTTAAAAAAAACAATTCAGAAAAAG